GCAATTTAATCCATCGAGTTCTCCTATGACTTAGATGTTATCTGGGCACATGTACAAGCTCCTTGGCATCACCCACATTCCCTACAGAGTCATGCCTAACTGACTCTTATATCTGATAGGTGCTCAACAAATACGGTTGGGTACATTAACTGAATGAAAATATAGATGTTGGATTATGCTGGAACTTAACTCTCATGGCTTTTTTTTAAAGTAGCATGATGTCAAACTAACTGTTTGAAGAATTTCCCCATCCCCTTTAAGACTATGATACAGTGTTATATTGAAAAAGAGTTCTGGAAAGAACTGACCTTAATGTCCCCGTCTTAAAAAGTCATGTCAGTCTAGGATGGAAAAATCATCTCAACAGTGATGACCACACAGTGGCAGTCAGAGTCAAAGGGTGGGCTAAGTGCTTAACAAATAGAATTTCATTGGCTCTTCCCATCCCCAGAGGCAGATGAAGTTACTCCATATCCTACCCTTGAGAAGACCCACACCAGGAGAAGTTCAATAGTTTGCCTCAATTGCCAAGGATCATTTAATCATAGGGCCAGGGTCCCAACTAAATGAGAGACATGTGCCAAGAGACTGTAGATTACCAGAGCTCCCTGGAGAGGGGTCCAATTGGCTGTCATCATTTAAAAGAGTTTTTTTCCACGGCATATTTAGCCCTACATGAACCACTGACTCTGTTGCCTGAGTTTCCACTCACTAAGGAGGGGGTTTCTCCTTAGTAAGCTGGTAGGAGAAGCAGCATACATGCTCCAAACTCCCATGCAATACTTTCATAAGGCAACAGGCAACACTGTCAACAGTAAACGCAACCTGTAACTTAAAACCAGGTCACAAGCTTAAGGGCTTGTTCAGCAGACCCACTGCTCTTAAAACAAAGCTTACCACTAGGTGGCAGCAGTACAGCATGCTTTGTAAATTAAAAGGGCAGGACATTTTCCCAGCTCTTTTTCACAGCAATACGCAATCTTGTTAAACTGCTTAGAATTTTTCAAAGATTGTTTTGTCATTTTTAGGGTAGTATGATATAAATAAGTAATTCTAAATAAAAATTATTGTACCTATTGAAAGTACATTATAATATTTTAAATAACACCATAACATGTTGATTACAACCTTTTCACATTCAACAAAATAAGTTTAAATTTGCTTTAATCCTGTAAGTAGAACATACTGTTAATGCACTGAATAAAAAAACTGTATACTGACTTATAGTAATGACTGAAAATTAATTTTTTAATACTATAAAATAGATAAAAACTGCTTTTAAGTCATGAAGTTTGGAATTCTTGCATTTCACAGAACTTTTGTTTCCTTTAGTTTGCATTTTGTTTCTCAAAGCCAAAATAATAAAGATTTCAGGTTCTACTTCACAAGCATTTCTGTGGAAGTAACACCAAAGATCCCCAACATATAAGATGCCAACTGGGTAAAGCCATAGCTATATTTTCCCTTTTTGACATACAGAGTGCAAAACCCCATCTCTACAAAAAATGCACATAAATTAGCCGGGTGTGGTGGCAGGTGACTGTAATTCTAGCTACTCAGGAGGCTGAGGCAGGTGAATTGCTTGAACCTGAGAGATGGAGGTTGCAGTGAGCTGGGATGCACCACTGCACTCCAGCCTGGGCGACAGAGTGAAACTCCGTCTCAAACAAGCAAACAAGCAAATAAATAAATGAATGTACAAGAGGAAGCCTGATGTGCTATATAAGAATTCTGAAACCGGGCGTGGTGGCTCATACCTATAATCCCAGCATTTGGGAGGCTGAGGTAGGCAAATCCCTGGAGGCCAGGAGTTTGAGATCAGCTTGACGCACTTGACAAAACCCTGTCTCTACAAACAATACAAAAATTAACCAGGCATGTTAGCACATGCTTGTAATCCCAGCTACTTGGGAAGCTGAGACATGAGAATTGCTTAAACTCGGTAGGTGGAGGTTGCAGTGAGCCGAGATCACACCACTGCACTTCAGCCTGGGGTGACTGAGACTGTCTCAAAAAAAAAAAAAAAAAAAAAAAAGAATTTTGAAGACACAAATGCAACTGAAAAAGGTGATGAATATTTGGAGGCAAATCTGTGGAATTATCAATATATGCGGACCTTTAATAAACTGGATTTCAATATAATTGTTCTGCTTTCTATCTTTGGAGATCTTTTGTGTGTAGAAATTAAATTCTATGTAACCAAGAATGGCAAATAACTAACCAGTAGTTCACATATATTCATTTAATAGGTTCTCAGGAATAAAATATTTCAATGATTTTTAAAAAATTAATTTTGTTAAGTGGAAAATAAAGTCCAATCTTTAACATAAAGAACCCTCCAGAAGTATACAAATCCTTTTTTAGGGAGGGAAGGTTCCAAACTATGAGTGGGGCAGGCATGGTGTTTAGTGGAAGGAATGTTACCCTTCACCTCACCCAGGAATGAGTGAAGAGTTTGGTCAGTTGTACACACTGGAGCTGGCAGAACTGGAACCCCTTCCTAAGTCTGGCAACTAGTTCTGTGTCCTTACAACTGCTCCACATGCTCAAATAAGCAAATGAGCAGATGACTGTCAATATTCAAGACCTCTGAAAGAAAGTGGTGAGCTCTCCACAGGAACCTTGGGTCACAGAGAGTGTGCAGTCTCTCTTCTCTGGCTGCCCAGGGGCCCTCAAGACTAATCTCAATCTCTTGAAAGTACTCTGCAATAGACCTACTTTCTAGGTCTTTCTACAAAGGTTCTACTAACCAGGTCTCTCTGTACAGCAAAGGTCAACATGGAGAGTGCAGAGGCTGTCCTGGTGTCTGAGTTTGTAAACTTTTCTGTGCAATCATTCATCTGGAGGCGTTAAGACAAAACTGAGGACCTCCCCAGGGATGGGTGGAAAGGAGCATTTGCTAGGGGATTATTTTCTACGGCAAGCACCAATCTGTACCTGCAAATCAATCAAGAAATGTATGTGAAAAATAATCTGCAATATATACACATGAATGCACTTCCCTGTATTCTAGGTATGTAACTAAATGCTTTATGAAGTGAAAATTATACAGTTGTCTGGATGTTTGACAAAATACATATTTAAAAAATGCTATTGTAACCTTGACAGCTATTAGCTAATTCATGAGTGCTTATGATCTACTCTAAAGTAAGTACAATAACCCACCATAAAAATCTCTTTGAATAAGCATCATTCAAAGGTTGACAAGTACCAAACGGCATGTTCCTAATTCATTCCTAGGAAATTAAACAGACTCAGTGATGGTTGTGGGAGACAGACAGGTTCTTGCGTGGGAGTGGATGGGTCCCCAGTGAAACCCCATCTTCAAGCCAGGGACGGCCTGAAGCCTTAGGGCCCAGATGCCAGTTCTGAGTGAAGTCAGTGACCTGGAGTGAGAACTTCCTTGATGCCTTGCAACTAATCAAATGGGGCTTTTTCCAGGCCCACCCATGGACCAATCAGTATGCACTTCCTCCATTCAGAGCCCATAAAACCTCGGACTCAGCCACTCATCAGAGGAGCAACCCACTCGAGGCTTTCACTCTGCTGAGAGCTGTTCAGGCACCCAATAAAGCTCTTTTCAGCCTTGCTCACCCTTCATGTGTTCCATGTAACCTCATTCTTCCTGGATGTGGGACAAGAACGTGAAACCTGCCAAACGGCAAAAACAAAAGGAGCTCTAACACTTTCCTGGGGGCTCACCAAGCTGCAGGTGGGAGCTAAAGGAGTTGTAACACATTCCTGACCAGCTCACAAAGCTACAGGTGGTGACATGCTCTCGGACTCCAGGAGTGAAGACTGGCAACCCTTCTGGGGGCCCAAACCTTGGGATTCCCTCAACCAAAGCTGTAACAGTATAGCCCTCCTGCTTTCCACCAGTGCCAGGCAGCTGCCACATGCAACAGAAAGCAGTGGTGGGACTGGGCCAGCCCAAGAGCTGCAGTGGGACTCAAAGAGCTGAAACACAAATGGAATAAAACATGCCCCCTGAAACACGCCCTCCTGGTCACTGTAACAGAGGCAACGAGAGAGAAGTGCTGTTGCCCTTCTGAAAGTCGAGACCCTGGGGCTTCCTGAACCAGGGCTATGACATACTACACACCCTCTTTGGGGCTATGTGGTTCCTGGTATCTCTGAGTTTTCATATGTCACCATGTTCCCCTTCTCCACACACTGGTGCCTGCAGCGGAAGCCAGCCACAGCCTTGCATGGAGCCAGCACCCGTGTCGGCACCGGGAGCTGCCCGCCCCTCTGCAGCAGCTGGTGTGCCTGGCGTTGTGCAGTGGCTGGACTCCATGCTCACTCACTCACACACTCCTGGGTGCTCCATCCCTGGCTTGCCCTTGGCAGGCATGGGATCTAGGCTGGCAGTGCAAGCCAAATGCAGCCTGCTGGGCAGAGTGGGTGGAAAGAGCCCAGTGGGCACAAGCAAAACTCAAGCAGAGGCCAGCCTCAGAGGTTTCCAGCTGGTGAAGTGACACCCAAAGGGTCCTGTGACAGTATGACAGGTAACAGTCTCTTAACAGAAAAAATTTCACTTATACGTGCTTTGCGAGAAAGGTTACAGAAACAGCTTAAAATGTAAAGAAGAAAGATACGGGTAATAAAAACGGTGTATCTAACAGCTGCATGGAGCAGTTGACAGTTTGTTTACAACTTATTTCCCCACCAGAATCTAGTACCTGGTACATGTTCAATAAACATCTTTTGAATGAAGGGTATGGCAAATGCCATCTCAATGACTCTCATACATTGGCAATTTATTTCAAAGGAGATAGATACTATTTCTGAACTTGGTAAACAGCAACTTGACAATTCCTATTCCCAAGAATAACTGTAGGGCAACAAGGTCAGTGCAGGGCTACCAACCTTGACAGGTTAGGGACCAAGGGCAATACCTGTGCAGCAAGGGAACCTTTAGGTGAGGCAAGAGTGCCCCTGTGTAAGCTCCCTTCCCGCAGCAGGGTCGCCCACAGGAGGGACCTCGCTGCTGCCCTTACCTCCTCCTCTTCCTTTTCTTCTGGGCCGGCTGCCCCACCAACGTTCACCAGAAGGCCCTTGCCCTCATCACTATGTGTGGCTTCCAAGGAGTCCTGCAAGGACACAGGCTCCGGCTCTCTCTGATCAGGCTCTTCTGTCCTTCCTTCACTTTCCTCTGAACTCATGGACAGGGCACTGTGAGTGCTGTGACACTTGGCACTTCCTGTCCCTGGGCTCTGAGGGCTTTGGGGCTTGGGTGTGGTGGGCCGCAGAGGGGTGGGAGGATGCCCAGGGTCAAATGTCGACTGGCTGCCAGGCTCTGGGTCATGGCAGTCTTTGCTCAACACATTCTGGGCAATCGGGTTTGGCAAGGAGCTTCTACTGCAAGGACCGTAGCTTTCCGCTGCCCAGGAACTTCTGGCTTCAAGAGGAAATACGGCAGTGTCGGTGACTATGCAGGGCCCCTTAGAGGTGGCTGAGCTGAAATCATGGGCCACAGAGCAGGCTGCAGTGGTGCTGTGCATGACCACCACACCCCGCCTGCTGTCCTGCTCGGTGTTGCTGGACACACGGCGTGAGTAGTCATCATGCAGCTGGCTGTGTGCCTGGAGTCTCAGGCTGGCCTCACCAGGGGATGGAGCCCCACTCCTGGGACTCTCCCTCCTCCAGGCAGCCTCGGTCACATTGCTGACAAGTTTGAAGACTCTGTCAAAGTCCTTGGCCCTTATCGGGCTCCTCCAGCGTTTGGTCCTTCCTGACCCGAGCTTTTGGGAGTCAGCGGAGGAACTGCTCAGGGTCCTCTGTGGCACCTGTGTGTCATGGGCAGTCCTGAGGTCTGCGAGATTGGAGGTAGACTTCCGCTTAAAGGAGCTCTTCTTCAGAAAGGCGAGGTTGTCGGTGCTCTTGCTCTTCCTGCAGCCCATGCTGTTGTTCTCAGGGTCCCTCATGAGAATCTCGCATGTGGTGGAGGCCTGGCCAGTGGCTGTTGTGGGTGTGGCATGGTTCTGGGGCATGTCCAGCAGGCAGATGCGGCCCAGGCCGTAGGCTCTGCGGAGGCTGCGGGAGCGGTGAGTGCTCCGCTGAAAGGCATCATCTGTGTCCTCAGGGTCAGAGCCATCCAATGTGCCCCACTCTGTTGCCCTGGGGGTGCCACGTGCTGATCCTGGTGCCAAGGGGGAGTCCCTGTTTGCCTGGGCTCCTGGGACAGCGCCATTTGCAATGGGTTTTGCCAGGCCATGCTCTGAAGCCTCTCCCTTTGAACAGGCATTTAACCCCTCTCGGCTCTGAATTCCTTTCAGGACTGAGGACTTCAGTTTCTTAAAGGATCCCATTTTCCGGAAGGAGGCAAGGGTGTTCCACGCGGAAGAGTTGCCCATCAGGACCACAGAGTGGGGCCGCTCAGGGTGGGCGTTCGTCTTCTTCCGACTGGTGGAAAAGAGGCGCACAAGCTTGGCTGGGCTGAGTTTGGCTTCCTGGGCGTCCGTGTCGCCACCAGGGCTGCAGCCACAGACTCCGTTTCCACATGCAGTGGAGGTCACCATCTTGAGGTCTTTCAGATCTGGGCCTGCAGGGCCTGGCCCGGGGCCGTTCGGGGCAGTGGTCATGTTCTCCGGGCAGGGTGCCCAGGGCCGCAGGGCAGTCTGGGTCATGGCCATGGGCACAGCCGAGTCTGCAGGCCGCAGCTCCAGGCCTTCATCTCCAGGACCACCGTCCTGGCACGCACACCTGTCTTGCACATCGGCCTTCCGGGTGGCCACGGCCTGCAGTGGAAGACAAAGCAGGCAGTTTAGTCACTTCCCCACACAGCAGACCCTCTGCTTACAGAACAAGAGGCATGCTCGAGCACAGGGCTGCTCAGATGGAAGCCACTTCAAACTCAGTTAAAACTGTACATTTCTCCTCCATTCACTTCACAAGTCGAAGGAAAGATGCAAATATACATCCCTGGACAGAGAGAAGTAGTGACGGGCCGTGTCGTGGACATGAAGGTTAAACTCCTGAACTCACTGGAACCTGTGTAGGTAAGACTAGGAAAAAGCTGCTAAAATGAAAATGCCTAGGTATCATTCAACACTATCTTTTCTGCTTATTTGAAATGGGGAAAAAAATAATTAGGAAATACCAAACAAAAACCCCACAATGATTTCAAAACGTGCGATGTTAAAATGCCAGCCTGTGTTGAATCCAACACAGTGAACACTCAAACCAAGTGCTGGCACACGCGGGAAGCCTGGCATGCTGGCAGCTACCTCTTACCCAGGAGGGCTGGGACGTCCAAATGCTAATTGAGAGCCACACAGGGCCACCCAGACACGGGCGGGAAGGACTGGGCCGGGACATGCCAGGGTAGCCTCTGGAAGAAAGCACACTGGTGGGGGGCTTTTTCCAACTGGCCACAGACTGGAGACAAGTGAGGATGATGCTGAAGTATATTGGAAATTCAGGGCTGGGGGACTTCCGGCCAAGATGGCCGAACAGGAAGAGCTCCGAGGCACAGTTCCCAGTGAGAGCGACGCAGCATGAGTGATCTCCGCATTTCCAGCTGAGGTACCACGTTCATCTCAATGGGACTAGTTGGACAGTGGGTGTAGCCCAAGGAGGGCAAACTAAGGTAGGGAGGGGCACTGCCTCACCCAGGAAGTGCAATGGGCCAGAGGACCCACTCCTACCCAAAGGAGGCCATCGGGGACTTTTTTGGCCACTCTGGCACTCCGGTTCAGATACTGCACTTCTCCCACGGTGTTTACAGCCCACAGACCAGGAGATTCCTGCCAGGCCGACAAGCACTGTGGGTTTTCAGCACAAATCTGGGCAGCCGTTTTAGCTGGCACCTGGAAGACTGAGATAGAGCCACCTATTCCATGAAAAGAAAAAAGGGGGGTGCTGAAGGCAGGGGGCCAAGTGATCTGGCTCAGCAGGTCCCACCCCCACAAAGACCTGAGAACTGAAACCCACTGGCTTGAAATGTTTGCAGCCAGCACAGTACTTTAAGCCTGACCCAGGACGGTCGAGATTGCTGGGGGAAAGGGCGTCCGCAATTACTGAGACAGTCTGCCATTACCCAGGCAGTTCTAACCTTACCTGTGTAAACAAAATCACAAGGAAGTTTACACAACAGCTGGGCGGAGCCCGCAGCAGCTCAGCAACGCCTCTGCAGGCAGACTGTGACTAGACTCGCACCTCGCTGGGCAGGTGATCTTTGAAAAAAGGCAGCAGCCCATCAGGGACTTATAAATAAGGCCCTACTTTCCCAGGACAGAGCACCTGGGAAAAGAGGTGGTTGTGAGTTCTGCTGCAGCAAACTGAAATGTCCCTGCCCAGCAGCTCTGAATGGAACAAGGGAGCTCCCAGCACAGTACTTGAGCTCTGACAAGGGACCTGCCTCCTCAAGCAGCTCCCTGACCCCTGTATATCCAAAGAGCCACCTCACACAGGACAGCTCTGGCTGACATCTGGCGGGTACCTTTCTGGGACAAAGCTACCAGAGGAAGGAACAGGTGGCAATCCTTGCCCCTGTGGGTGATTCCCAGGCAAGCAGGGTCTGGTGTGGACCTCCAGTAGTCCTACAGCAGAGGGGCCTGACTGTTAGAAGGAAAACTAAAAAACAGAAAGAACGTCCACTTAGAGACCTCATCTGAAAGTCAGCAGCTTCAAAGACCAAAGGTAGATAAATTCATGAAGATGGGAAGCAACCAGTGCAAAAATGATGAAATCACCAAAAACCAGAACGCCTCTCCTCCTCCAAGGGATCAAAACTTCTCACCAGCAAGAGAACAAAACTGGATGGAGAATGAGTTTGACAAGCTGACGGAAGAAGAATTCAGAAGGTTGATAATAACAAGCTTCTCCGAGCTGAAGAAACATGTTCTAAGAACCTTGAAAAAAGGTTAGACGAAATGCCAACTAGAATAACCAGCTTAGAGAAGAACATAAACGATGTCATGGAGCCGAAAAACACAGCACGAGAACTTCATGAAGCATATGCAAGTTTCAGTAGCCAAATTGATCAAGCAGAAGAAAGGATATCAGAGATTGAAGATCAACTCTATGAAATAAAACAAGAAGGCAAGATAAAAGAGTGAAAAGAAATAAACAAAGCCTCCAAGAAATACGGGATTATGTAAAAAGATCTAATCTACGTTTGATCAGTGTACCTGAATGTGATGGGGAGAATGAATCCAAGCTGGAAAACACTCCTCAGGGTATTATCCAGGAGAACCTCCCCAACCTAGCAAGGCAGGCCAACATTCAAATTCAGGAAATACAGAAAACACCACAAAGATACTCCTCAAGAAGAGCAATCCCAGCATAATCATCAGATTCTCCAGGGTTGAAATGAAGGAAAAATGCTAAAGGCAGCCAGAGAGAAAGGTCGGGTTATCCACAAAGGCAAGCCCATCAGACTCACAGATCTCTCGGCAGAAACCCTACAAGCCAGAAGAGAGTGGGGGCCAATATTCAACATCCTTAACGAAAAGAACTTTCAACCCAGAATTTCATATCTAGCCAAACTAAGCTTCATAAGTGAAGGAGAAATAAAATCCTTTACAGATAAGCAGTTGCTCAGAGATTTTGTTACCACCAGGGCTGCCTTATAAGAGCTCCTGAAAGACTAAACATGGAAAGGAACAACCAGTACCAGCCACTGCAAAAACGTACCAAATGGTAAAGACTGTCGACACAATGAAGAAACTGCTTCAACTAATGGGCAAAACAACCAGCTAGTATCAAAATGACAGGATCAAATCCACACGTAACAATATTAACCTTAAATGTAAACAGCCTAAATGCCCCAATCAAAAGACACAGACTGACAAGTGGATAAAAAGTCAAGACCCATCGGTGTGCTATATTCAGGAGACCCATCTCACGTGCAAAGACACACACAGACTAAAAATAAAGGGATGGAGGAAGATTTACCAAGCAAATAGAGAGCAAAATAAAAGCAGGAGTTGCAATCCTAGCCTCTGATAAAACAGACTTTAAACCAACAAAGACCAAAGAGACAAAGAAGGGTATAGGCACATAAACCAGTAAATCTAGAAGAAATGAATAAATTCCTGGACACTTACACTCACCCAAGTCTAAACCAGGAAGAAGTTGAAATCCTGAATAGGGCTGAATAGCTGAGGGCTGAAGTTGAGGCCGCAATTAATAGCCTACCAACCAAAGAAAGTCCAGGTCCAGATGGGTTCACAGCCGAATTCTACCAGACGGACAAAGTGGAGCTGGTACCATTCCTTCTGAAACTATTCCAAATACCAAAAGAGGGAATCCTCCCTAACTCATTTTATGAGACCAACATCATTCTGGTACCAAAACCTGGCAAAGGCACAATTAAAAAAGAAAATTTCAGGCCAATATTCATGATGAACATCGATACAAAAATCTTCAACAAAATACTGGCAAACCAAATGCAACAGCACATCAAAAAGCTTATCTATCACGATCAAGTAGGCTTCACCCTGGGAATGCAAGTCTGGTTCAACATATGCAAATCTATAAATGTAATCCATCATATAAACAGAACCAAAGACAAAAACCACATGATTATCTCAATACATGCAGAGAAGGCCTTCAACAAAATTCAACAGCCCTTTATGCTAAAAACTCAATAAACTAGCTATTTGATGGTACGTATCTCAAAATAATAAAAGCTATTTATGACAAACCAACAGCCAATATCATACTGAATGGGCAAAAACTGGAAGCATTCCCTTTGAAATCTGGCACTAGACAAGGATGCCCTCTCTCACCACTCCTATTCAACATAGTATTAGAAGTTCTAGCCAGAGCAATCAGGCAAGAAAAAGAAAGAAGAAGTATTCAATTAGGAAAGGAGGAACTCAAATTGTCTCTATTTGCAGACATGACTGTATATTTAGAAGACCCCAATGCCTCAGCCCCAAATCTCCTTAAGATGATAAGCAACTTCAGCAAAGTCTCAGGATACAAAATCAATGTGCAAAAATCACAGGCATTCCTATACACTAATAACAGACTAACAGAGAGCCAAATCATGAGCAAACTCTCATTCACAATTTGCTACGAAAAGAATAAAATACCTAGAAATAGAACTAACAAAGGATGTAAAGGACCTCTTTAAGGAGAACTACAAACCACTGCTCAATGAAATAAGAGAGGACACAAACAGATCGAAAAACATTCCATGTTCATGGTTAGGAAGAATCAATATCGTAAAAATGGCCATACTGCCCAAGGTAATTTATAGATTCAATGCTATCCTGAGGAAGCTACCATTGACCTTCACAGAACTGGAAAGAAATACCTTAAACTTTATATGGAACCAAAAAAGAGCCCACAGAGACAAGACAATCCTAAGCAAAAAGAACAAAGCTGGAGGCATCATGCTACCTGACTTCAAACTATGGTACAAGGCTACAGTAATCAAAACAGCATGGTACTGGTACCAAAACAGACATATAGACCAATGGAACAGAACAGAGGCCTTGGAGGCAATGCCACACATCAACAACCATCTGATCTTTGACCAACCAGACAAAAACAACCAATGGGGAAAGGATTCCCTGTTTAATAAATGATGTTGGGAAAACTCGCTAGCCATGTGCAGAAAGCTGGAATTGGACCCCTTCCTTACACCTTATAAAAAATTAACTCCAGATGGATTAAAGATTTAAACATAAGACCTAACGCCCTAAAAACCCTAGAAGAAAACCTAGGCAATACTATTCAGGACATAGGCATGGGCGTGAACTTCATGACTAAAACACCTAAAGCA